ATACACAGAACTTTATGAACGACTTGGTTGAATCATGTTCGACCAAGTATGATTGTGACTTTCTTCTAAAGGTCAAGATAAGTATTGACCTTATTATCTTGGCTTAATTGTAGGTGTTTGACGAGCCGATCTCGCGACCTACTTATTATTGTGTGCCGCTTTTTGCTATACCAGGTGGGTTTAATTTGAAAAGTACTATGCCTTAAATGTCATTACTGTTTATTTGTGGTATGATCAAAGTATGCATGTGAATCATGTAGCCTTCGGTGTGAGCTGTATCGGCCATCGGACGATTGCCCCCGTAGCTATAGAACGTACCTTCGGGTAGTCTTCCTTGAGAAGCCGTAAGACCAGGGCTTAGGTCCCTCGACCGGTGATCCTCATTGGTAAGTCCAAGGCAAGGCCTTGGATGGTGGGGTGGTTTACTCCTACTGGCTGGCACTCGATGTAGGTCCGGAGGGCATTCGGTATATAGTCAGCAGTAGTCTATGCGTAGGTATGCACATGAGTCTGATTATTGTGATTATTGATGGGAGAATGGATAGATTATTGCTTAGTATACATGCTGAGACCATACCTTTTGATTATTGATTACTGTTGATTATTGACATTAACATTTATTTCATAGCGGTGAGCACTACTGTTTTCTTCTGTGCTCATCCCCATGGATCCAGGTTAGTGTTGCGGGCACGGTTGAGGGAAGCGAGTGTGGTCATAATAAGTTGTTATTGCTTCCGCTTGAAACTGAATTATTGCTATTATTGTTTTCTTCGATTACTGTGTTATTGTTAGGGAATGTTTTCTCTAGGATTTTATGAGTATTGAATTGGTTACTGATTTTTCAACTGGGTTATTATGGATTATTGATTATATTGAGGATTGATTATGATGATTGTTTGAATTTTGATATTGGTTTTAAAAGTGAGTAGCGCCTCAAGTGTTTTTGAAAATAAATTTCAAAAAATTTATCCTGAATTTTGGCAAATAAAAGTGGGGCGTTACAGTTTGGTATCAGAGCCAGTCTTTTTTCTGTAAACTGGTTAATGTGAATTATATGATTATTGCTTTGACTTTAAGTTATGACCACTCGCTCCCGTCGTGCCGCGCCAACTCAGGTATGAGTACCTGAATAATTTTGAGATTGCTGTGCAATGCCTGATTATTGATTATTGATATGAAATCGGGGTTTAGGAGTTATCCACCTATGTTATAAATTCGGACTCTAGCGTTGAACTCTAGATTCCCTTATTATTGTGCTAAATCTTTTCGACCATTTATCAATGTAGAACTATGACTCGTCGTAATGCTCACAACCATCAGCCTTCCCCGACTTCGTCTCTGCCTCCACTTCCTCATCACCAGCAGGCCCCTCCTATTAATGACTATCCGAGGCTCATAATCCAGTTTCAGGGCATGCATTCGCCCAATTTCTCGGGGACCGAGAGCCCACTACGGTGCTAGAGTGGATTAAGGAACTCGACAAGATCTTTGTTGTGCTCCCCCTCTCTGAGTAGCGGCGTGTCTCCCTTGCCGCCTTTCAGATGAAGGCGGATGCTTCTAACTGGTGGACCGATTATTGGGCTATGAGACTCGAGGCTGAGTGTGACGCTCTCACCTAGAACCAGATAAAGGATATAGTTCGAGGCAAGTTTCTTCCACAGAGCTTCCGGGACCGA